GCCCGCCGTGACCCGGTCACTCCATCGCCGATCCAACTAAAAGAGCGCTGTCTGTACGCCGTGGACAAACGCGACCAGTGTGAATGAACTTTGTTGACCTCGACAACCCGCGGTCCCCGACACACGCGCTACTCACACTAGTCACACGTACGAGGTCATGTCATGTGATGCGAACGAAAGTTTCAAAGTTCCACTGATGGGCCCGACTAACCAGAACTCGGACGAAGCTTGCTTAAAATTTTAAAGCAACGGAAGAACAACGAATATATTATTTGTAGGCCCATGTCATAATTGTTACAGTAATCAGGCCATCATTGGAGAATTCTGGGTAACAAAAGCGAAAGTAAATCTAGAGAGTATTCAAGTTGGAGTTCAAAATCGATACTTCTTCGAAAGAACGTACATGAGTCAACTAGGCCCCTACTGGATCCGGCATTGATGTTTTAGAAAATAGCGTTCCAAGTTCCTGCTGATAAAAAGTCCAAGCGGTGCTTTCAAGCAAAAGAGATTGCAGAATTTTTTTTCTCTCTAAGAATCGGACGCAACAGACGCAACAACAAAAAAATCAGGACACTGGCGACCAAAATGGGGAAAATCGGGATGCTCAAGATTTAGGGCAAAAAATCGGGATATCCCGATTAAATCGGGATGAGTGGCAGGTCTGCATATGATACCTTTCTGTTGACAAATAAAGTCAATTTTTATCTCATTACGGGGTGTCACAAACACTGAACACTCAGCTAAGAATATGAAGCAAGACAGACTGAAAGTAAAGGACGTTCAATATTTCAGGGACATTTGAAATTTTAGAAAACATGTACCCCAATAGATACAATGAATTGAGTGGTTTTCAAATTCTGCTAAACCTTTGTGCTCATGATAAGAATCACCATTTTTGTAAATTTAACAGTATAGACTGGCAATCTTATCTTAAAAGATAAGACGAGAGGGATGAGCTTGTCTTAAATTACAATTGATTCAAAACACAGTGTCGACACTGATGAGGCTGAGAGCTCATTAAAGTAAATACGAAGCTTGGTTCATACCTTGGGCACCCATATCTCTTTCCTGACACATGTGTAAAACTTTGTGAGCTTTCCTCTCTGTATCCAGCGGTATGTGTTCAATGTATGACGCCAAGTAAGATCTGAAATAATATTGGATGTAAGATGCCAGAGTCCAACAAATTCGTCTCAGTTCTTATTACAGCAAACTGTTACATTGGAATAGGGGGGGATTAAATCAGGAAACAATAAGCATTTGGAGCACCAATTATGCACTTCAGGAGACATCTACATATTCATACTAATTTAGAAACATTTATTTATTTTTCATCCAAAAGCAAGCATTCAACACTTTGCAGAGGTGTTGCATTCATGTTCTTATTCTAAATGCGTATAACATATTGATATACATATAACATATATATAATACATATATACAGTCGTACCTGCGTAAAACGGCACAAATTTTGACAAAACGTAATAATAGTCACTAAAGGGGCCGTCTAAGACAGGTGTTATTGCTTTGTGTGATAGGGGTTGTGTGTTAAAATATGGTGGCTGCGGCCCCATTGGACAGGTGCCCGTTTTACACAGTTAAATTAAATAGAAAAAACGCAAGGGGGGGAAATGGAAAGTGGTCGTTTGTGCTGGTGGCCGTCTTATAGAGGTGGCCGTCAGGGCAGGTTCGACTGTATATATATATATATATATAAACTATAAAAACGAACACTACAAAAAATACAAGTAACTGTTAAAAGAAGACACAAATGAGATACAATAGATGTATCACTAACCTTCCAAACACGGGACAGAAGTCCAAGTAGTCCACACCCACTTGCCACAAACTGACGGAGTTGAAAAGAATAAACAAAATAAATAGATATGTACCACTTGCACTGACGTAACACCTAACAATACACGACTGTATTTCTAAAATTAAGTTCTAGAGTGTGTACGTTTCTTCAAAATAACTGAATGAGCCAAAAACATGTTTAAAAGAAAAAAGAGAAATCCTGTGTGAATAAAACATGATACTGATTGATAAGATTGTGTTCTTGTTATTTAGGAAGACTCCTTGATTGAAAAATCATGAAATATCACAAATTTCAGTTCAATGAACAGGACCTGAGCTATTTTTTGTGCTTTTGTGTAGTAGTAGTAGTATAGGGTTTTACGGCGCTCGCAACTGCGTAAGGTCATATGAGCGCGCGAAACACAAGTTGGTCTTGTTCACAACAGTTCGCTGTACGGCTGGCTCGGGTCAGTAGTTAAATCTTAAAATGTTTAAAAATCAGTGTAAATATACATATATTTTCAATCTAAAACAATTTTTCTTGTTAACATAAAAATTTTAAATAGTACAGTTTTACTTTACAATTTGCCATAAAGGCCAATGGCCTTCATAAAATTCAAAATTTTGCTGGGACCAACGAAGGAAAAAATATTTTGCAATTTCTTGCATTTAAAATATTTCCTTCGGATCTCTCCAAAGTCTAGACATTCGGTTAAGATGTGTCTGATGGTAAAATCTGTGTCGCATCCGACACAGAACGGCTTCTCATCTCCCTGTAGGAGGTATTTGTGGGTCAGGGCCGTGTGTCCGATGCGCAATCGAGTAAAAATGACTTCGTCTCTTCTGGAGAGGTCCGAAGGATTTCGCTGTTCTAGTTTGGGTTTTATAGCATATAGTTTATTGTTCTTCTGTTTTTCCCAGTGGCTCTCCCACAGACTGGAGGTGTACTTTTTGACTTTATTTCTATAGTCAGTCTGTGGGAGAGTGTTTGTCGTTGATCCCAGCAGAAGGGATGAAGCTTTCTTCGCCAGGTTCTCTACCTGCTTGTTTCCTCGGATGCCCACATGGCTAGGTATCCATGCGAACATGAGGTTTTTTCCTGTTTCGGATAGTGTATGAATTTTCTGTTGTAGCCTAACTATTTTTGAATGTAAGAGTGTGTAGTTTGTGAGTGAGGTGATGCAAGACAAGAGAGTCAGAAAGGATAAGGAAAGATTTGTTAGGAGAATTTTCTACTGGCCTCCGCAATGAAAATGGAGGCTTCAGGATGGAGTCTTCTCTGGTGTATATTGTTGGGAGATAGGGCTGCGGCGCCCACTTCATTGTCTTTTTTGGAGCCATCCGTGAAGATGAGCTCCGCACCGGGGTATTTATCTATTAGTTTTTTGTATTCTGCTATAAAAGTTTTGGTGTTTGTGCTTTCTTTGTTGTGTGTGGTCAGCTGTAAGTCTACTTTTGCCTTGGTGAGGTGCCACGGAGGGAGGTAGGGGAAGAGAAATTGTTGGATGTCTTGTTTGGAAAAGTGTAAGTTTTTGAGGTCCTCAAGGATTC